TGATTTCTCCTGCCTTCCATTTTAAATTTAGAAATAGAAGTTGAGCTGAGCCTTTGACCCGTGTGAAAAACAGACGAATATTCTGGCTCCAACACATGAGAAAATATCGACTCCTCATGTTTTTTTTGCTGTTCTTATTGTGCTCAGTTCTTCTGGTCTTATGTAACGTCTCCTCCTCCTCTTCTCACTCCTCTCCTCTCCTTTTCTTCCCATTTCTCCTCTTCCTCTCCTCCTTTTCCTCTCCCTTCTCTGCTGCCTCCTCTCCTCTTTCTCCTCTCTTCTCTTCTTCCTCTTCTTTTTCATCCTAATCATCTTCTTCCTCTTCTCCTTTTCCTCCTCATCTTCTTTCTTTTCCTCCTCTTCCTCCTCTCTTCCCGCCTCTCTCCTGCCTTTCCTCTCTCTCCTTTGCCTCTCTCTCCTCTTTCTTTTCTCCTTTTCCTGTTTCTCCTCTTCCTCCTCTCTTCTCTTCTTCCTCCTCCTCATCTTCTTCCTCCCCTCCTTTTCCTCTCTCTCTCTCCTCTTCCATTCCTCCCCCTCCTCTCCCTTCTATTCCCCTCTTCTCTGCCTCTTCTCTTCCTCTTCTCTTCTCTTCTCTTACCTCATAAATGTCTTACTCTTCTCCTTTTCCTCCTCGTCTTTTTTCTTTTCCTCCTCTTCCTCTTCTCTTTCCTACCCTGTTCCTCTTCCTCTTTCTCCTCCTGTCCTCCTCTTCTCTTTTCCTCTCCTCCATCCTTCCTCCTCCTCCTCCTCCTCTCCCTCTGTTCCTCCTCCAGGTTTCTCCATCTCTGTGGTGGAGGAGGACGGGGTGCAGCAGCTCTACATCACAGACGTCAAAGCTGGAGGACTCGCCTTCGCCAAAGGTCTGGACCCACTGCTCATTTTACTCTTACCATCTATTTGTGTGATAATCTAAACAGTAATAATCAAACATTTTAGTTTGATGATGTCCCCTAAACCATTTTACAAATTTAATCTGTTTACAAACTAATCACATTTTAACACAGACCTATGACAGTTTTCTTAAATTATGTCATTTGGTCATAACACTTCTGAAATTGCACAAATATCAATAAGTGAGAATCTAGTTTTCATCTTAGTTTTAGTATCAGTTTGTACAACCGTATCATATTTTGTGAAATTATTAGAAATTTGGATGAAGATGGTTTTGGAAAGACTTTTTTTTTTTTGCTTAACAATGAAGAACTATGTAAAACAGTTTTGTTTTTAATAAGACACAATAGGCTCTGTTCACGCTTACAGGAAGACGTGTGGAAACATGCCAATATGACGACTTCTGGTGTAGTTACTGACACTGGGCATGTGATAAAACTGAGGATTCTTCACAACCTGCCAAAGCTTTTCCATGGGGGATGTGACTCTAATCGCATTTTCAATGTCACTTACAGACAGCTGGTTGTAACCGAACGCTACAATGACATCTTTCTTTTTATTATTATTAAGTTAGACAAATTATAATACACAAATGAATAGGCAGTTTATAAATGGAAAAAAAAAAAGAATATAATGGCATCTAGATGAAGAAAACTGGGCCATTTTGTCACTTACTATTGCCAACAAAGGCCAAAGGAAGTCGTCATCCGCATGTTTCCAAACATCTCCTGGTTTTGTGAGATAAGCGTGAATTGAACAGCCTGATTTATCAGCTGGTTTCACTTCGTGGAAACCGTCTGACCTCGCAGCATTAGAATGCGTTCGCTTGACGGTTGGCGGGTACTTTTTGTATTTAACCAATCGCTGCTATTGGTCGTGATGTATGTCCAAATCCTGTAGGAAGAAGGGCAATAACGTCTTTTCCTCAAGATAAAATTCACCAAATATTCTCTTTGTTCCGGCTTTAAATCCTCAATCTTGGGAATCGTTGCCATCACTGAATGTCTGTCTTCGTCTACATCCATCTCGACCACTTTGTTTACTGTTGTGCTGTACCACAAAAGGGACCCAGACAGACGCTTGAGTTTGAGGTCATGGCTTCACAGCTCTTCACTGATTGGCCGGTCTTGCAAACTGTCTAGTGTATTCTGATTCTTGACCTAGTCGCTGGAGAGAAATGAAATTGAGCGGAGGCACCAGGTAGCGCCAGCCTGGGCAGAGCTCACTGAATTCAAAATTTTGACCCATAGACCACAGAGTTTTTCTCAGTAAAAAAACAAAAAATTAATCAAACTATTAAACTCTAGATATGCAACACAGAACCCAAATATACAGTATGAAGAACTACATTTTGCAATGTTTTAAGTGGGCTTTTTCCTCCTATTTAAATTGTGTTTTTTTATCTTATCCCGCAATATATACTAGATAGTTTTAGTAGAGTCAATGGTAAACGTAATTTTACAAAATCTTTACATTGTTTGCTGTGAAATATTCTGTATATTCCTGTATTTTTTGGCCCATATTTTCAGGGTCTACAAAAATTTTTAACCACACCTCACTACATTGAAAGAATTTATGGTAAATGTTTAACACCGATTTGAACTGATCTCTATTTGTGGCATTGAAGTTTTAAAAATGGGTTTAGAGTTGCATTTATTCATATGAAATTTAACCTGTTGGTGCATAAATCAAGAATATAAAGCAGAGGTAAGGGAGTGTTCAAGGGCACCGGGCCTAGAATGCATTAGAGTGACGGACAGGCTGAAAATGTTAAATATTTAGATCTACAACAGTGCACGGTGTTCTGGCAGAGAATATGCCGACTCTATAGTACAGTAGCCTTGGATCCCAGTGCTCCCAATGCTGCCATTTTTCATTTTCCAGAAGACTGCACATTTTAAAGTGAAATGTGATGTAGCAGATGACTAGAAAATTGCTTTTTACAATATTGCCAATAAAACAGTTAATTTTACGTTTTAGGTTTTTTACTAACTAAACCTGGATTAAAACACAAAATTGTAGTAAACAGTTTTTTTGTTTTAGTTAATGTCTAAATGTCTAATTTAGTTAACTTGTTTTAGGCTACAGAAATATATGTACCTTAGTATTTACATCAGGATTGTCATGGTCATGGAAATTGAAAATATAATTTTCTAGGCCTGGAAAGGTCATGGAATTTTAGTATCTCTTTCACGCAACTACAGCGTCAAGTTATTGTTGGAAAATTGTGATTATTTCCGAACGTCTGCACCTTTGGTTTGAAAGAGACGACAATTAATACACAGACAGTATTTTGGTTGTTAAAAAACTATAATCCCAAACCATAAATTGAGTGGAAAGGGTTAACATTTCATACTTAACCCCAAAAGTCTGATTCTACACATATAGGTGCTGTAAAGTCATGGAAAATTCACTTGAAGTCATGAAAAAGTCATGGAAAAGTTTTGAAATTTTGAAAAGTGAACGAGTGTTAACCCTGTTACATGCTTTTATTTAATTTTAGTTAGCAAAAATATGACACTGATGAAAGCTATGACTTATGAAATAGTTTAAAGAAATGACTGCTTTGCCTGGAATGTTCCACAATATGGTTTTAAACTTTTATAAAATGCATTTCTTAAATTATGGGTGTTTTTATTGCTCAAAGTACCTTTTTAAAATCATGCATTCTGACTAGGGATGTAATGATATCCAAATTTCTCAGTACGATATTATCATGATCACGGTACGATATTGTGATATTTTGGAGAGGCTTCTATAAGTGTAGAGAGGACATTTTTCTGCTTTTAATACCTTTTACAAGGTTTTAGTGTGAATTATTTCTATCATAATCCCAAGAATTCAAGTCAAAAACATATTTCTTCATGTTGTCTGTGCTGAAATGAATCATGGGATATGTAGTTCCCGATGTTTATAAGCTGTTGCTTCTATAAAACCATGCATTTAAGCAAAGAAACTTGTAATTCGATATCTTGTGATGGCCCACGATATTATTGTGAGACTTTTGACGATACGATATCACAATATTTTGGTTGTTACATCCCTAATTCTTATTGTAAGTGGGGTCACGTGTTCACAGATCTCACCTGTAAATTGGCCAGTTGGCGTTTCCTGCTTGTGTCTGTGAAGACTGAAAAGTTTAATGCCATGCTTTGGAGTATTTGAGGTAAAGCAATAACTGATGGGCCCTCAGAAAAGTAACACAGTGCACCGTTAACAGAAAATATCATTATAGTTTTGTCAGTATTGCCCTTCTACACAAAAAGATTCTCTGCGCTTTGAAACGTAATGAGGAGGTGTGCGTCATTAGTCCGGTATTACTAGCACAGTAATTATGCTATAATAGATTACTGTAATTGAATAGATAACTGAAGCCAATAATAAATCAGTATTATAATGTCCATCAAGCTTCTTTTTCTTCTTATTTGTTCGCCCACTTGGTTCTATGAAAAGTAAGTCAAAGTAAAAGTTGACAAAGTGCAGATCTGAGAGTGCAGTGGGATGTTGCCTGTTACGTAAACCTGCGCCGTACCAGGAGTAGTGTGCTTTTGGCCACAGATGACTCATTGATTTTTGGAGACGTTTTTGGCGTCTAAAAGAAAATGGGGTATGTTCCATTTTAGGTGTGAGGAAATCAGGAGGAATTAGAAGTGGCACATTGGAGAATTTCAGGACGAGTAAAGATGAGCAAGTTCATAGTGTCTGAGTTAATTGTAGCAGTCAGTGTAGAAAACTTTGACTTAAGGTACAATATTTAACATCACATGTATGATTCCATGGAAATAGAAAGGTAAAACTATACTTTGGAACATTGTCCATGGAGTAAACCTTCTCCAGGCCAAATAAGAGTCAGGTTTGTGGAGATGCAAGCCCGCTCACGTTAAGGACACATAGACTGAAGCACTGACTGTGTGTGAACAAAATGCAGATTGGTTAATTACAGCAGAATGTCATTATCTTTTTAATGAAGTGATATGAAATCTTCAAACAAATGTGTTCTCAAAAGCATCATTAATCTTCTGGACTTTATTGAAAGATGATGGCTCCTGATTTAGAATGAGTTTCATGATTGTGAAGTGGATTTTACCTTTGGGGGTAAGGCTGGGTGGTGGGACTAAAAAACATGACTTTTTTTCTTTCATACAGATTAAGATTTTTAATTTTATTTTGTCTTATTAAAACAAATTAAAATTGAGCCAGTTTCACTTCGCGGGAAACCGTCTGATCTCGCAGCATTAGGATTCGTTCACTCGGCGGTAGGCGAGTACTTTTTTTATTTAACCAATCGCTGCTATTTGGTCGTGATGTATGTAATGCGCCGGAATGATCAGTGGTGTCCAAGTAATTACCGGCACAACATCAAACAAAACAGAGAGTGAACATGTCTGTCAATGATCATTGTCGTTTCTGCGAGATGAACTTGTGAATTAAACGTGCAATAAAAAAATGCAAAGCTTGTATTTGACAAAGGAAGTCCAATGGGCGTATAGCGAATGCAGTCACAACTTGGGTTGTTCAGCTCTTCGTTGATTGGCCGGTCTACAACTTCCTGGGTTCTTTCAAACTGTCTAGTGTATTCCGATTCCTGACCTAGTCGCTGGAGAGAAATAAAATTGAGCAGAGGCACTAGGTGGGGCCAGCCTGGCTAAATTAAAATGGCTTTCAATATTATTTTCCAATTTCTTCTTCCAAAGTCCCCCCTCCTCATTTTGACTGATCACATTTAGGAAAAATATTGAAATCCATCTTTATTTTTGTCAATAATATAAAAAAAAAATTAAATGAAAATTGTGAAATAATTAAGAATTGCCATTAAAACAAAAACAAAGTCAAAACCACATGCTTTTACTAACAGAGGATTGACCGTAGACCTCTCCTTTAAAAAGACCCAAGCTGACCATCAGTCTCAGTCTTGCTTAAATTAAGTGCACAGCCCTATTGGAAAAAAAACTTAGTTCTATTTGCTTATTGTTTCAAGTAACAGCGTCATTTAAGTTCTTTTTAAAATGCTCTCATCTTTCTCATCTGCAGGTCTGAATGCTGGAGACGAGATCCTGCAGCTGAACGGGAAGGACGCCCCCTGTCTGAACTTCTGTGACATGAAAGCGGCGTTCTCCCAGGCATCTCTGTCCCTGACCGTCAGCACACTGCCCCCTGTGGAGCGGAGGCAGCTCTGCTTCCTGCCCCCGCGGCGCTCCGGGGCTGAAGACGACCTCTACACCGACATCTTCTCTCAGAGCCAAGGTGAGGACACTCTGGTGTTCACTCTAATGTTCTTAAAGTGTTCTCAAAGGATTGATGGAGGCTTTAAGTAATGAAGCAGCAAATGGACCATCTCAAAATGTAATCAACAACGCACTGTACCTGATTTTTAGTCTTAAAAATATTTTTAAACATTTTAAACCATTTGCAGTGACCCAAAGTTATTTCTCACTTACCTTATGCGTTCTGACCCTCCTAATTATTCACAGTGATGAGTTTATAAGCACTTTTCCAACTCACTGAAACAAGAGTGGAGTTTTACCATGACTGTAAAGTTAACACAAGGGCTGCTAGGGCTGGATATCATTAAGAAGTTGCCAATATGATACATGCCTCGATACGATACATATCTTGATACACTGAACTTTCGATTCGATAAGATATATTTCAAATCGATTCGAAAAATCTTGGCTGTGACAGTAAAGTCTTTGTTAAACCACTTTTTGTGCAAAATTGATATGAAACGCCCATTTTAATCAAAACAGTGAATATGTCAAATGTGTCACCTAAATGAGTTTCCTTCCTCTAAACAAACAACAAAACTATAGCACTGTAACAAAATAATTTAGTAAAATAGACCAAAAAATACTCTTGGAGCTATATCGATACATCAGCCCACGATATCAATACTGTATCATCACATTAAACAATACGATATATCAATATTTTGATATTTTTGCACACCCCTACATGCTACTGTGCACTTTCTGATTAGATGAAGAGGGTACACAGCGGATTTTGGCCTCAAGAACTGCTTATATAATACAGTATATTTGTACTGGAGCAAGACCAATTTTGCTCAAATATACAAGAAAAAAAATTTGGAAGATTCAGTGGGATGTGATGGGGTAAAAGGTAGGATAGAATTTTATTTAGGGCTTCTCGATACTGGAAGTTGTTTCTTTGTGACTGTTAAGTGCTGTGGTATCAATAGTGTTGCCTTATTTGATGTTTCACACAGTTACATTAAGGTTTAAATATCTTAGTTTTAATATATTTGCCAAACACTGAACTGAACAAAACTGAGACTAAAAGCTAATTTTGACATTTCAGAAATTTGGTTGGGAGTCCTTGGTGTTATTACAATATGATGATTTTTTTTTGCATTTTTCATTATTATGATAACTATATACTATACTATAGTGGTATAATGTGCTAGTGCCTCCACTCCATTTCCTTTCTCTCCAGCAACTAGGTCAGGAATCAGAATACAATAGACGGTTTGCAAGAACCTCGGAAGTGCGAGTCTGGGCACCAGCCAATCCGCGAAGAGTGATACAGTCAGTGTTGTCAATGATTCCTGAAATCGAGGATTTGAAGCCAGAACAAAGAGAATGTTTGGTGAATTTCATCAAGGGGAAAGACGTTATTGCCCTTCTTCCTTTGGGATTTGGGAAAAGCTTAATATACCAGTTAGCCCTGTTAGCGGCGCATTACATACGACCAATTAGCAGTGATTGGTTAAAAGATAAAAAGCCCAGCTATCATCAAGCGAATGAAATCTAAGGCTGCCAGGTCAGACGGTTTGAACGAAGTGAAACAAAGTAAAAACCGGCTGATGAATCAGGCTAATAATGTGCAGCCCTGATCTTCAGCTTGTGTTTGCATCACACAGGTCTGATGATTGTCAGTTTATGGATTACCAGCATAGCATTGTTTTAATTTGGTGAATATAGTGTTCTGTTTAAACACTGTGGCATCATTTACCTTCCTGAAAAAGTCTTGTATAATCTACATTAAACTATAGTGTCTTGGGGACTCACTGTATCACATTTTATGGGGTATCATTTGCTGTTTTCCTCACAACAGGCACATTGAGCATGATATAATGTCGACTGAAATGGGGGAATAAATAGGGGACATTTCTACAGTGGAATGGTAACTCCAGAAAAAGCTGCTTAAGGTGCAGATGCTGAGGATAAAACAGAAAAATAACTACATTTTCCAGCCCAGATAATGGGACGTCCAAAGAGTGTTGTTCCTTTCATAAATCTCACTAAGTTCATTCTCACTGTATGTTCTGTGGATCTTGAAGTTACGCCAACACAAGTCCATCTTTGGCAAACTATCCAAGATGGCTCCTCATCGTGCTAATGATCTCTTTAGCATAATCAAGAGCACAGAAATGTCAACCTGTTTGAAGAACTTTCAAAGTCACTTTCTCCACACAAACTCAGCAGCTTATGTGACACAGGTCTAATTAGTGCAGGAACACAGAGCACGTCGCAATTATCTGTTACGTAAATGTATCCAAAGCACTTAAGATGAAAACATTGCCTTTTCCTATGGGCATGTTTTATTTGTTTTATTTCAAGTTTTATTTAATGGTTTCTGCTGTAGCAATCTGTGTATCATTCGTTCATTCGTTTTTCAATATAAAACCAAAAATAAGAAAATGAAAAAAGCTAAAATTTTCTTCATTATTTGTCTCCAAAACCAAAATTTAAAAAAATGTATATTAATTAATTTTTTTCAGTTTTGGATTTTGTGTTTAAATGAATAATGGAAAAAAAACGGATAACGGCCGATTCCCATTTAAGTGACTTAACTGTGATCCCAGGACTGATCCGATCTCTGTCCCGGTCTCAGTCCCGGTCTCAGTCCCGGTCTGGTTCCTGTGTATTCCCGAACCTGGTTTTAGTCCTGGTTTCCCGTTTACATGACTTAAACTGTGATGCCGGGACTGAGACCGGGACTGAGACCGGGACTGAGACCGGGACTGAGACCGGGACTGAGACCGGGACTGAGACCGGGACTGAGACCGGGACTGAGACCGGGACTGAGACCGGGACTGAGACCTGAGACCGGGACTGGGACCGGGACTGGGACCGGGACTGAGACCGGGACTGAGACCGGTTTAGTCTTGTTTTAGTCCTGAATCGGTACTGGTTCAGTCCGGCATCACAGTTTAAGTCATGTAAACGGGAAACCAGGACTAAACCAGAACTAAACCAGGACTAGACCTGGACTAGACCAGGACCAGGACTGGACCAGGACTAGGACTGGACTAGGACTGAACCAGGTTCGGGACTAGATGGGAACCAGACCGGGACTGAAAACTGTTTACTCCTGGTTTAGTCTTGTTTTAGTCTTGATTCGGTCCTGATTCAGTCCATTGTCTGTTTTTTCCATTATTCTTTTAAACACAAAATCGAAACCTGAAAAAACGAATCATCTGTTTTTTTTTTTTCATTTTGGGTTTGGAGACAAATAATGAAAGAGTTGTTTTTTTGTTTTCTTATTTTTGGTTTTATATTGAAAAACGAATGAACAAATGATACACGGATTTGTAGCTTTGGTAAAAATGTTACTGTCCAAAATGTGAATTTGTGATTAGTGGTGAAACCAAAATAAACTTTTACAAGCTTTTAACCATGTTACTCTGTTCCCTCATCACTATTTTTTTTAACTTATAATTGTACTGATTCATGCATGTTTGAGTAATCCTGTTTTGTCCTGTGTTTGAGTCTCCCCCTGTCTCTGCCCACTTCTTTGTTCTTACTAATGATTATTTTAAAAGTAAGGTTAAAAAAATGTCACGTACAGAGGCGGGTCTCTCAGTTGTGCAGCCAACAAACCCATTTCTATTAAGATCTTTTTTAATCGATCAATTTTACAGAGAACAAAATGTAAAATGCAAATCTACTTCCTATGATGTACTTTCATATTTTCCGCATATATCATCTTTAACATTCTCATAATTAATTTTGATTGGATTCTTCTAAATGAAAGCGTCTGTGTTTCAGAGGAGATCCTGGATGACGGAGTGGGCTTGTTCTTGGAGAGCTCTGGAGACAGTCTGGACGAGGACTCGGAACTGTTCAGCGACTTTGACGAGTGCAGAAAGGTGAGTGTCAGTCTCATCGTTCCACAGTATGGCAGACTTTTAGAAATGATGGACAAGCATTATTTTAAACTCTGCCAAATGAAAATGACCTGTGTGCTGAATTGCAAATCTTATAAAATGCGAAAAATAGCATATCATGGTTCATCTGCTTTTGGCTGTACTGCGATTTTAAACAGAAAGACTAAATAAAGGAGGAGGGCTGAACTAGTGATGGGTGATGCCAGTGGTTTTTGTCTCATATCGCAAGTAATTCTAGGCAAGTACATCGCACTTATACCAATACCAATGAGCTTTATATTCTTTGTAATCTGCAAATCCCACTTAGACCGCTGAGAGATGCAGATCCTGAAATTAGAGAGTGATGCACTGGGCTCAAGTGAACAAGTCCAAGGGAGGTGAATTTTCATAAAACCCATCACTGTATTACTTGCAAATGTTAAATCTTGCATTTCAAAAGGGTCAAAATCATACAAAAACGACCAAAACCTGTTTACAACACCTGAGGAGAACAGGAGGGGTTCTCCCAAATACAGCCTACCCCACGACCCCCTCTGCTGGTGATACGCACACAGACACATGCTCCAACATCGAAACTCATTGTCGATAAAGACTTTTAAATCTGTGTATTATTCATTCATTCGTTTTTCAAAATAAAACCAAAAGAAAACAGAAAAACAACAATTTTCTTCATTATTTGTCTCCGAAACCAAAATGAAAAAGCTGATAATGATTTGTTTTTCCTCTTTTCTGTGACTTAAAATGCGATGTCGGACTTTTGCACCGTATACGGACTAAGCCGGGGACTAAGCCGGGGACTAAGCCGGGGACTAAGCCGGGGACTAAGCCAGGTTCGGGAGACCGGGACCTGTATAGTCCTGGGGGTATAGTCCTGGGGGTATAGTCCTGGGTGGTATAGTCCTGGGGTATAGTCCTGGGGGTTTAGTCCTGGGGGTTTAGTCCTGGGGGTATAGTCCTGGGGTTTAGTCCTGGGGGTTAGTCCTGGGGTATAGTCCTGGGGGTATAGTCCTGGGGTTAGTCCTGGGGGTTAGTCCTGGGGGTTTAGTCCTGGGGTTTAGTCCTGGGGGTTTAGTCCTGGGGGTTTAGTCCTGGGGGTTTAGTCCTGGGGGTTTAGTCACAGGGGTTTAGTCCTGGGTTCAGTCCGGCAGTGTAAGTCACGGAAATGGGAAACCGTTTCATTTAAACACAAAATCAAAAACTGAATAAAACGAATCGTTATCCTTTTTTTTTCATTTTGGTTTTGGAGACAAATAATGACGATTGGTTTTATATTGAGAAACGAATGAACGAATGATACACAGATTCTTTTACCTTGGCGTTATTACGTTAGCTCCATCCTGACTTCAAATACCAACATTGCATTTCCATAATTTATAAGATTTTTCAATATTTGCCTCATATTTTACTGAATAATATTTCAAAATTCCACTCTGCTGTGATTCAGTGTGTTTTATCTCCTTAATATAAAAGCTTCTTGATGTTGTGATGTACTAAATGTGACTGTCCGTAGTGGCATTAGTGAGCGCTTGATTCGTTCGCAGAGGCAGCCTGGTCCTTCACTCTTCCCCCGCACGCAGCACTTAACAACAGTTTGCCTCTCTGCTTCTCGCGCCATCTGCCACAGGGGCGTTCGAATGCGGTCTAAGGCGAGCCCCGCGCTGTACCTGTGTTTACATAATGCCACGCTTAACACATGCTGCAGTGTGAATATGCATCACGGCGCTCGGGTCGTTGTGGCAACCAGCTGTTTAAAGGGACTCTTCAAAGATGGTGATAATCAAAGAGGCTTGAATGTTTATGTAAGTGTACAGTGTGGAGAACATGCAGGAATCAACTGGAAGTGCAGGAGACGTGGTTCAGCTTGTTTGATTGAAGAACTACACTGTAAACCTGAGTAAGTTACCAGAACTCAAAAAAATTAGGAAATAGATTACCTCAGTTATTTTAATCTGATGAATTTAAGTCACAATCTTCCAGAACTTAAAAGGTGTTGGATGTGTTGCTACTTGTACCTTTTGATAACAGCTGAATTAAAAGTGCTCATTTAGCTCAACTCAAATATTTGCATTTAAAGTTTTCTGAACACTGGAATAATACAATTTTCAGATTTGTTTGTAAGTCATGATTTTGTAGACACATTGTGCATACAATCCAGTACATCCAGCTGTATCTACACACATTATAGTACATTCATATTATACACACCTTAGGAGGGGAATTTGAACTCAGGTCCCCCACGTGAAAGTCAGGAGATTTTCCAGTTGAGCTACTCAGCTAAATGCAATCTAAACACAGTAAATCATACATTATAGTAAACAATATTATACTATAAATATATCATCATACATATAGACCCAATATACATATATTACATTATACACTCCCTAGGAGGGAGATTTAAATCCAGGTTCCCCACATGAAAATCAGGGGATTTACTAGTCTAATCAATATTATATAATATGTATATAGTTTAATAATACATACTGTATTTTTAGGACTATTAAGTTGCACCGGACTATAAGTCGCACACTCCCCCAGAGATCAGGAAATGACATTTCGTCTTGAAAGGAAAGTTATAGTAATAACATTAGAACAGAGAACAACAGGGTGTTAACGTCACATAACACATAGCACAAACAACAGAACAAGTTTACCAAACTCCCCATCTCACTCCAAATCACTAAATCATTTGAATTCTTCATCCTTAGTGTCACTTCTGAGCAACTCCGTGGCCTCCGGAGGTAAACGGAGCACCACTTCCTCTTCTGCATAGCTGTCGTCAGACTCAGTTCCAGTTAGTTATTCCGGCCTTTCTGAATCACGACAGGATGGTTTTGGTTGTCACTGAAGTCCAGGCTTTGTTGATCCATCCAATGACTTCCAGGAAAGTTGCATGTTGCGCCCTCCCGGGTTACTGTGAAACTGTGTTCTCCATCTCTCCATCCCCGCTTTCAGCCAGTCCCTCAAAAGGTTTTTGCTCACTCCAAACTTTCTTTCTGCTGCTCGATTACCATTTTCGGCTGCATATTTCACTACTTGGAGCAGGACTTGCTGCAGGAGACATGTGCAGTAGAGTGAAGTGACAGTGGTATAGGAGTAATAGGAGCAGCAGATACTGACACACAAGCCTCTCGCAGCTGTCAATCTGAAAATTTTACTATATAAGTCGCAGGACCACCCAAACCATGAAAAATTGTAAGTAGTTGGTATTTACTTACATATATTACACTTTATAGTATACACCTAGTACATTATACACACATTACATATTATTTTTAATTACTTCATTCTACTAAGTTGTACCTCATTTATGTTTTTAAGTTACATTCACTTATACCCACAATAGTTCCCTTTAATCAAAAAATATTAGTTGAAATTACTCTAAAAGAAGAACATGTTACAGCAACCTGACATAATTAAGTGAGTAGGACTATTTCTAAAACTTTGAGTCAACACATCTTAATCTATTTAATTATTTTGAACATTCGGGTTTACAGTGTAGAGGCAAAAGTAGAAGATTTGAGGCTGGTGGTGCTTGGTGGATTATTGCAAAGTTGTTGGGCTTTGCAATTTTGGAAGTATTGGACTGCGGACAAATATATTTCCAATGCTGCACTGGATTGAAACTTAGAAAAACTCATCAGACCGGTGGGCTTGGATTCTTGCAGGGATGAAAGGAGGATGAGGAGGAAGGCGGAGGCATTCTGATTTGCAGTGTATTTATTGGTTTACTTATTTCCTTTACTTTGGAGTCTTCATGAAGTCTCAGAATTAGTCTAAATTTATGAATAAATGTTGGTGAGTAAAGTCCATTCATAGGCTTACTGTATGAATTCTTTGGTTTATTGTATTTTATTGGTTTATTGGATGAATTCTTTGGTTTATTGTAAATTTGTAAAGTGGTGTTGAGGTTTGAATCATGTATTATTTTCTTTATGTTGCATTATCCTCCTAAAGACTACAGATGAAAACTGGCTTTACAGTCTGGTACAGGCTTCTCTTCTTTGATGCTGTTGTTGTTCTGATAAATAAGTGAAATAAGTTGCAATACATGACATTTAAAGTGTGTTTAAACATCATGTTTAAAGGTGTTAAACTAGGGATGTATTTATATCCAAATCTCTCTGTACGATATTATCATGATATGCATCTCACGGTACGATATTTATTGCGATATTTTGGAGAGGCTGATGTAGTTGTAGATGGGATACTTTTTGTTTTTGGTGTGAATAATTACTGCCATAATCCCAAGAATTAAAGTCAAAAAACATATTTCTTCTTGTTGTTTGCTCTGAAATGAATCATGGGATATGAGTTTCTTTATGTTTATTAGCTGTTGCTTCTATAAACCCATGCATTTAAGCAAAGAAACTTGTAACTTGTGAAACTTTTACGTTTAGTGGTACATCCCTGGTTCTAACTGAGTGGGAGTTCTTTCACTTGGAGTCACGAATCGCCATTCATGCATCAACCCTGAGAAATGAATGTCACAAGAATATAATCCTAGTAAAAAAGAAAACGCCATAGAGTCTTATAGGGTGTAAAAGCTGCTAACCCTGTAGTCTTGACCTCTACAAACGTGTATCTGGATGTGGCTTACTTTACTTCAACAGTTCATTTAGTCTATTTTTGTCTGAAGAAATGCCAGTAAAATACATTTTATTGGACCAAACAATATTTCTTACTGTACTTTTATTCTTATGTTTGTCTGAGCTGGTGAAAATGCATTGTAAAATTGAGAATAAGTAGCTTTTCTTAATTGCTGCTAAATTACCTTTGGTTCAGTGACAGATGCGTTATCCAATCCAACTTTATTTGTATAATACATTTTATAAACAAGACATTTCCAAAGTGTTCACATAGCACTGTAATATGTTTAACACTTAAAAGTCAGCAGAATAAGCCTGATTCATCAGCCGGTTTCACTTTGTGGAAACCGTCTGACCTCGTACCATTAGGTTTCGTTCGCTTGACAGTAGGCA